TTCTACATGTTTCCATGTTGCTGATCAGCTGTATTGATAAAGTATTGGCTTTTTCCTTGTGGAGGTTTTACTGCATCTTCACCTCTCTGTCTCCTCCGCCACATCTTTACTCCGTGTTTGTGCGTAGAAGAGTCGCAGCAGCCCTGACGCTCAGACAGCAGGAGGAGCGGCTGCTGCAGCACGATAATAACTTACACCAAAACATAAAAACAGTGAGCAAACAGTTACAGATAAAAGAACAGGTGACGTCGGAGCTTCTTAATGCTACGGTCGTTAATAATTTAGCGCCGCGGCCCGTTCACTAACGGCAAGATTAACAGGGTTAAATCTTCACACATCCGTGGGAAGAAGCGAATATTAAAAGATCGATCTTGGACTTTATGAATCGATATCAGGTCATTCAAATGAAGATCGATCTGAATCGGATGAAACGATTATTCTAACCCAGCCCTAATCTGACCAAATGTCTCCCCTTCTGTTGCTGAGATATGACGCAGTTTCATTACACGCAATAAATTTACATGACTTTTCCAGGTTTTTCATGAATGTGGGAAACTTAACATCCACTAGTGGTGGGCGATATGGCCCTAAAATAATATCAGGATATTTCAGGGTGTCAGGTGAAGCCAGATCTGGGTCCTGTCCACACCTGATGCCTACCGTACCAGAGTACACATGAAATGTGCTCAAGACCAGTTTTTCTAAGTGGGCTCAGGCAGGAATCAGCGGACCGTTCCCGGGTACGGTACACAGTGTTAGCCTTTGTGGATAAGTGCACTCGGATCTAGTTGTAGGTCTGTGATGTGAAAGCCTCCGTAGACTCAGAAAGTGTGGGACTATAGAGGTAACTCTGAGGACTTAAAAATAAGGTTTCTGTTGGATCACAGTGTTTGTGATTTACTGTCTGAAGGTGTTGAGAATCAGGACCGTAAACTGGAGGAGGATTCTGACCTGCTTTATGTGCCGTTTCAACCCGTGACAAAGGGTGAGGGTTTTTCTTGGACTGCTTTATGACTTGTGTCTAAAGGTGTACCTCAGTGAGAGGGTGCTGGCTCGGGTCTGATCTGATCTCTGAGCTGCAGCTTGTGTGATTTTTGTTGCTCACCTGGTTTCGCAGCTGTTTGATGGAGTGCTGCAGGGTCAGGATGTGGCTGAAGAGCGGACTCTGCAGGGTCTCCCTGAGGTTGCCCATGGTTTCACTGTGTGTCCACTCCTCCCTCTGCACCAGTTTGGCCTGCAGACGCTCCAGAGCTCCCAGTACCTGCTGGCGCTCCACTGCGGACACTGAGGACAAAAAGGCATGTTGTCACGATACAGAAGCGAATTACCACAGAAAGTATCGACAGTCCCAACAGTGAGCAACAGGTGAGAGGATTTACCTGTTGGGACATTTTCAAACATCGTCGTCCCTCACGCTCCCTCTGTTGCTCTGATTCAATCTGAACAGAGAAGAACAGACATTAGTTCACATTTATTTCTAACAGTGGCCAACATGAACAACAACGACCAGTCAGGGATTTTTTTTAAGTCTACCAGGAAATAAAGGGCTGTTTCTTTTCTGGCTGCTGGAAGGCTTTTAACACGAAACATCTGCAGGGAGTGTTGCTGTACAGCAGCGTCACATCAAACAAGAACAACTGGAATTAATTACTTAATGAAAACGATGCTGTTAAATGGAGAAAGAGTGCTGAGTGTGACACGACTCTCTGTTGTGGTACAGATGAATTATTTCTGCGGAAATTGAAGCAAACATGGAGGCAAAGTTAAAACAGGAGCAGGTGAGAAATCGGCGAGAACTCTGACATTTGATCAAATATGCTTTTATTGATATACTTAAAGGGGCAAAAAGCAAAATTGTTTCACCGCTAGGTTTGCTGTTGTGCACTGCCTGTAGACCAAAACAAAGTGTGTCATGAGCCACACCTCCCTCTACCTCTGCTCTCCACCCCCCACCCCACTCGCCTCGTTTCCTATCTGTGCAGCCGAGCACCGCAGCACCTCCACGGACTATTACATCCAGACGGTCCCGGTGTTTCCTCCGCAGGCTCCACTTCACTCAGCTGCCCGATAAACCCGCTGCTTCTTCCCACTTTAACCTGAATAACAAACCAGGGCTCGGTGCTCCGGTTGGATCCAAACGGAGAGCCGGGGCTAGCTCAGAGACTAGCGGAGGCTAACTGGCTGTGCTTCCCTCCGGTCATGCTGCGGCTAACGCTCCGCTAGCCGCTCCCAGCTAGCCCCGGTTTGTTATTGAGGTTAAAGTGTGAAGAAGCAGCAGGTCTGTGGGGCAGCTGAGTGAAGTGGAGCCTGAGGAGGAAGCACCGGTTAGCCCCGGTTTCACTACAGGTAGATTCACTCGCTACAGGGGCGAGGAAATAAAACCTGAACAGCCAACTTAATTTAGCAGTTAGCAATGTCTTTCACTCACTCTCGGTCTCGGCTGTGTTTGGCTATTCCCCTGCCTACTTCAATGATGATGGTACCCGTAATAAATGTAATATATTTGCTGAGATGGAGGCGAGGCTCAGTGACTAGAGGAGCTGGTAGAAGTGCTCCATAGCTGTAAGTTAACGTTACTCCAGTGCTCCCGGGAGCTAACGCTAACATTCCTACTCTTCTACGTGAGCCCGCCAGGCCCATGAGCCGGCTCACGGAGAAGAGTAGGAACATTAGCGTTAGCTCCCGGGAGTGTTAGCAGTTAGCACTAGTCAGCTGCCACGCTAACGTCCCTACTCTCCTGCGTGCCTCACGGAGAAGAGTTAGCATTAGCTGCTGGAGTTAGCACTAGTTGGCTGCCACTGGCTACTGGAGTAACCTACAGCTATGGAGCGCTTCTACCAGCTCTTCTAGTCACCGAGCCTCGCCTCCATCTCAGCAAGTATATTACATTTATTACAGGGACCATTATGCCATCTGCCATTGCTCACTGGCTGTAGCCTTTTATAGGGAGGGAGGGCCAAGGGCTCCGAGGAGGGAGGAGGCGGCGATTCACATGAACGTACATGAACGCGCAGCCGGACTGGCTTGTAAACAATGGGCTGGAGATCAACACAGAGAGAGGGTGTGTGAGGTCATGCTATACTCCAGACGAAATTACACCTCTAGTTCTTCACATAGCAATTTTTTAAGTCCTTCAATCTAGAAATGATGAATTTCGCGTATTGCTCCTTTAATGCACTTTGGATTGTGTTTGTGTATAAAATGTGCTACAAAAATAAAGTTGTCTTGTCTAATAAAACTTGAAATACTGTAAATGCCTGTTTTTTTCTGCCATCCAGGAAAATAAGGGACACAATTTTTTAATATACAGCATCTAAAGACAACTCCAGCCGCGATACACGCAGTAATGATTTGTCTCTGCAGGTTTAATCCATTTTGTGGCAGTTTGTATAAAATTTGGATGATAACGTTTTTGTTTGTTGTTTTTTTTTAATGGCTTTATTGTCATTGTACTTTACAATACAACAAAATTATGAGAGCTACTCCACCATGGTATCATTGATTAATCAGTTGTTAAAAATTTTATCAAACGTGAAATTTAATTGATCAAAAAAAAAGATCTGAGCAGAACATCATGATGTCACAGAGAAGCTGACCTTTGACCCGGGCTGAGCGTGAAAACGATCTCGCAATAAAATATATTTCAATGTCAATGATAAACAAAAGTAATTGTTACTGGATATGGTATACTTTCTGTTCCCACAGTGTAAAGTTGTGGATGGTAGCAACAGAAGCGTTCCTTAGCGTCCCCATGTTTGGTCCCCCCTCTGTTGGGGTACCTAGCACACAGATCTGGTACTAAAAGGTGGAGCTAGAAACCCTGCAGTCTGATTGGTCAGTAGAGGACGCTCACTCTGGTTTTATGTAACCTCTGTTCATACATCAGTAAACTACAACTATAAAATGAAAGAGAAAAAA